TCCCAAAGAAACTTCAGACTTTTAATCTTTTTAATTCCAAGGAGACTTCAGAATTTTAACCCTTCCTTATTCTATTACAAAAATTAAAAATTTCAATGAATGCAAGAATCCCAAAAAAAAGACAATTACTCCCGAAAGAACGAGGTGTAAAGAATGACCCCTCAAATAGGGGTCAAATCATCACTTCCCCGGAAAGTACCCACCGTTTCAATGCATATCCAACGGATACCAGAAAACAGGGTTAGATCCTCGCGTTTCCCTTTTCGCGGCTCGAAATTGGCCGCGAAACACCGCGTGAGATGCGGCCGATGCAAATAACCGGGTATAACAGAGTGATGGTGGCGGTGCGGCGGCACAATACGGATGAAGCTTTGGGGAATATTTTATTGCGGCTGACGCGGGAATCGGCGTAATTCACACTTTGACCGTCGAACCGATAAATTTCCTGCTCGTGATCTCTTCGCATCTTTTTTCGACCGGAGTCCCGTGGGAGCCCGTAGCATTCCACGAAGCGAGTAAACGAGTAAATTTGTAGGTAGAATCCGCGCGCCTCCTTCGGGGCCCCTCGATCGAATCCCATAAGTCACGTCTCGAATACAGTGTTTAACCTGGCGAGAGCTTATCGTCGATCGTTATCCCGCCGGTTCGTGAATCGTTTTCACCGTGTGTATGCGGTTCGCGTGCAGTGTCCCTTGTGTTGCGCGTGTACGACTGCGTGAGCCTGTGGATCGAGCTTAAATGTTTTCGCGAGCACCGATGAAAATCCGCCAAATGCGTCTCGATGATCTCCGTGGGGTGTATTTACGTTTCGTTCGGCAGATGCTATAACTCTTCGGGTTACATTTGTCGGTGATGCTGAGGTGATTTTAATTCTGGTAGTTTCGGACATGTGGGGCTGTGTGAGCTGATTTGTATGCGGTTGGAAATTTGGGAAATGTGACTTTGATAGGTCGTGAAATTTAGGGAGGTTTCCAGAGATGGAGGAGGGTTGTCAGGAGTTTGGAAATTCTGGGGATTCGTGGAAAATTGGCAAGATTTTTAATATTGGGAATTTTGGGAAATTCTGGAATTGAGAGTTTGGGAAATTTGTCGAGTCCAAAAATTTGGGAATTCTGTAATTGATGGAGCTTTGGAGAGATGGACGAGTGATATGAGAAGTTTGAAAATTTGGAAGATTTCTAATATTGAGAATTGGGGAATTTTGGGAAATTCTGGAATTGAGAGTTTGGGAAATTTGGGAATTCTGAAATCGATGGAACTTCGGAGAGATGGACGAGTGTAATTGATGGAGCTTTGGAGAGATGGACGAGTGATATGAGAAGTTTAAAATTTTGAAAGATTTCTAATATTGAGAATTCTGGAATCTTGAAAAATCTAGAACTGTGAAATGGAAAAATTGGAAAATTCTCTTCTGGAAAATGAAGAACATTTCGTGGAACTCTTACGTATTAGATAAATACGATATACAGTTTCAATATCCCACGGATCGATGGAATTCAAGATAGCTGAGGGAGTTTGAAGTGCTTAAGTATACAGTTTGTTGCATAAAACGGAGAAAACCTTTGGGTACGAGTAACGAGACCTATTCAATTACGGCGCACATTGTGCCAGCTTTTTATGTACGCGCTTCGAGCAGCTTCTCGAAATCCATTTACAGGTTAAATTGAATAACCTGTACTTTACCTCTGACAAAGTGTTTCAATTACCAGGCATAACAAAATCCATGGGTAATATCAACCTAAACCCCGTTCCATCCTCTTCCATGGGACGGTCGCCATCGATGCCGCACCACAGAGACTTCCGGCAATTACAACGATCCGCACCAACCAAACACAGGAACTTCCAACCCTTTCCAATCAAACGCTTTTTCTACCTTTGCAAATTTCTTCCTAGAAGATTTCCCCTCAATTTCAATTTCCACACAAAAAATCTCCTCCAGAACAATAGAAAAACCTGTATCCTCTATACGTTCTGCATCCTCAATTTTGAGAACTCTGTTTACCTCTTCAACGTTGACTTTGAAACACAAAAAACAAAAAAATATGTGTCAAATATTTTTTAAAAAACTATACAATACATAAGTTTCATAAAAATCGACGATTTACTCTCGAAGATTCTTCCTCGGTGATATATAAGAGGGTAGAGTGATAAATGACACGAATTTGTAAATAACACATCGCTGAATGAATTTCTACATATTCCTATTGGATTTTCACATTTCCACAAATGCTAATAATCGTCTAGGAATACTAATGACCCCGAAGAATCTGTGAAACCTGCTCGAGCTTCCCACTCGACGCATCCCCGGTACTCATTAGACCCGAGCAGCGATATTTAAATGTCAATTTAAATACCAGTCGCTTTAGATATCCCGTGAAATGGTAGAAAACGGTACCGCTGTCTGCGGAGGGCAAACGACACGGCGAGCGATTTTCTAGCTCGTCGTCTTCGGAGATCTTCTTATTTAAAATCGTTCTCGATCGTTACGACTGGTTGGAACGTGTAATACGATTTCGTTTCACTTGTGTCTGGTTCGTTTACCCAGGGCGATCGCCACGGGAGAAAATTAATAACCAGTGGTTCGAATAACTGGATTCCACGGCGAATCCACAGGCTGAACTAGACGAGTATAATCCGAGAGATCCGTAAGAGGAGACGGCGACGACGACGGCGATAGTGTGTTCCGATGGGGAACCACACGGCTGTGTGTTGGATTATACGGCGCGTCGAACGGCCGCGGGCAAAAAGTGGTAGCGGCCAGTTTTGTCAGCCACGCTTCGATTGGCAAGTTGACGTTAAACAGCCGCCGCCGAGATGAACGATAGTGACAATTCTAATTAAGCGGCTAGCCGATTGAGTCGGACCGTATTAATTACCCGACGTACCCCGCGGCACGTGCCGCCTACTTTTTACCCCCACTCCTACTGTTCGGTGTTTCTCGTCGTCCGCCATTTTGGTGAACTAGTGGTTTGTGTTTGAGGTGGGATTGGGAATTGTTTTGGGAATGAGGAATTTTGAGGTTTGGATATTTTGAGATGGAGAGATTTTTGAAAGAGGCTCTAAACTTTGAGAATTCTAAATTTCGAGGGTTCGAAGAGTGGGGATTTTATGATTTGAGAATTCTAAACTTTGAGGATTTGAGGCGTGAGAGTTCCAAGATTTGAGAATTCTAAACTTTGAGGATTTGAGGCGTGAGAGTTCTAAGCTTTGAGTCTCTAAACTTTGAGGATTTGAGGCGTGAGAGTTTTAAGATTTGAGAATTCTAAACTTTGAGGATTTGAGGCGTGAGAGTTCCAAGATTTGAGAATTCTAAACTTTGAGGATTTGAGGCGTGAGAGTTCTAAGCTTTGAGTCTCTAAACTTTGAGGATTCAAAGAGTGAGGATTCTAAATTTTGAGTATCCGAAGCGTGGGAATTCTAAAGATTTGAGACTCTAAACTTTGAGAGTTCGAAGCGTGAAAATTCTAAAGTTTGAGACCTTCAGTTTTTAGGATTCGAACCGTTGGGGTTCTAAAATTTGAGAATTCTACATTTTGAGAATTTGATGCATGAGAATTCTAAGATTGGAGACCTCAAACTTTGAGAATTCAAAGCGAGAAAATTCCAAGATTTCGGACTCTAATCTTTGAGAATTCGAAGCGTGAGAATTCTAAAAATTTGAGACTTTAAACTTCGAGGGTTCGAAGCGCGAGAATTCCAAAAGTTTGAAAATCACGAGGTCTGAATTTCCAGAGCCCCGGAATTCCAAGCTTTCTAAATTTCAATTTCCCAAAGTTCCTCTAACTTAGTACACCAAATCTCCAAAATTTCAGGATCTCCACACAGTCAAAAATTCCCCCGTCCACAAAATTAAATTAAAAATTCTCTCCATCTGCTGCATCTACGAATAAAAAAAATTTCCCTCGTCTTCCAGGGGACCTGAAGAGGCGACACTCTTGGAGCAGCGAGGTCGACTATCAACCTGCGGAAACGGAAGGCGTAGCGACTCCAGGAGGAGATCCCGGTGTCTCATCCTCGGACGAGGAAGACAGAGGCTCGTACAAGGTACTCTACCCACCAACCACCGTCGTTTTCTAATCGCAACCCTGAAAATCTCCACGTTTGAACACCTGTGCATACACTATATACAACGGTACAACATATACAACACCTGAATTGCGAACACGCACACATAGAAAACAATGTTCCCTTTGTTCCACGAAATCACGACTCCTTGTATCCCGTTTCGCCAAGTAATTAAGTGGCTCGAGGCGTGTACTTGCTTCAAATGGAATTACCCTCCCCTGCCCTCCCCACCTTAATCGCGAAACTTCTTCGAGGCATTTTTGCCACGATGCACGGGAATCAGTCGATTGAAACGGGAACACCGATAATTGGCTTTTATGTGGCTCGAAACGTGGATCGAATTAGCGATCTTTCGAGAGCCGGATTTAATTATTGTACGCACGATCATGGGGCCTTGCGTAATTGATACGCGTGCGCGCGGAATAGCAATTCCCTCTGGTTCTTTTTTATTCGCGATTGTGAGAAAAGGGTTGTCCTAATGTTGCGCGAAATTCCGTTCAAAAATATTTCATTTTTTTTTCTTCGAATCATACTTAAAAAATTCATCATAAATGATTTATTCAAATTGTCAATTTTTCCCCTCGAAATTTAAATTTCTCAAACTTTTCATTTTTCTCCTCTGGGAAAATGATCTTCGGCGATTAAATAGTCAATTTTTTCCCCTCGAATTTAAATTTCTCAAATTTTTCACTTTTCTCCGCTGGAAAAATGATCTTCAGTGCAAAAATTCCCATTTTATCGAAAAATTTTGAAGAAACGCGGTTCCAAATTTTTAGCATAAAAGAGGGATCACGGGTTATAGTGTTCATCGTCGGCACCGTTACACTTGGAAGTTGAAAGATGCGCTAGGGATGCATTGTCCCTGGAAGTTGAACGTGGCGCACCGCGATTTCTGCAGTTGCAGAGTTGTCGTTAAAGCACCGCCGCCTCAGGTTTTACGGTCCGCGTTGTCTGGCCGCAGTAGTAAAAGGAAATGCACCGTTGCACCGCGGCCGTTACGCATGGGCCGTCTCGCGCGCAATGATCCGCTCGTGCATATAAAACGTAATTTTGGTTAAACGCCCTGCGCTCGTTCCGTATGAACCCCTTCGCGTTCCCACAATTTTCATGGGAAAAGTGCCTCTCACCACTGCACGCTTTTTTGCCCAGGTAACCCTGGCGGTTTTGTGTTTTGCCATTCAGTCCTCGTAAAATTCTCATCCTACTGCTTTTTTCATAAATACAACATGATCTCTTGGTTTTCGTTCCATTTTTTCCCTTCGTGGTAAAGCTATACTTCGACGACTCAAATCAGTCTGGTGCTTCGTCGACTAAATATTATTATTTGCTAGAAACAACGCTCTATTTTGTCAACTAGAAACAACCTGCTTGTTCGTTAAATGAAAAGAACTCATACTTCAGTAATTGAAACCAATGTTCTACTTTATCAACAGAGAGCAATGTTGTATTGGCTTATTTGCGAGAAACAACACTCTACTTTATCAACTAGAAACAACGTACTTCCTCGTCAATTAACAACCAACACATACTTTATTTTCGTGCTTCATCGATTGAAACCAATCGTCTTCTTCATGAGCAAAAGTAGTGTTGTCTATTATCTGCTAGAAACAACCTCCTTCCTCGTTGACTGAAAACGAACCCATATTGAACTTCACCACCTGAAATCAATATCTTACTTCGCTAACTAAAACCACTGTTGTACTTTACCAACAAAAACTACTGTTGTATATTATCTACCAAAAACAACAGTGCGTTTCATCAACTAGAACCAACCTTGCACATCATTTGATACAAACAACCCTCCATTTCACCAACCAGAAACCACTACAAATTTCACCAACTAAAACCAACCTTGCACTTCACCACTTAAAAACAACATCACAAATCATCTCCCAAAAACAACCCTCTACTTCGCCAACAAGAAACAACACCAAAAACCCGTCCCATACTTCACCACGCAATATCAATCTCATACTTCACCAACCGGAGGCGATCGAATAAAACGCGGCAACACGAAACCGACAACTTCTCTCCACAGAAGAACCGATCGACGAATCGTGTCGGAATCTCCACCGCGCCGCAAAGAAGCTACCCCGTGCACGCCGAAAAATTCCGTTCCAAATAAAGAGGCTGACACGCGTGTGTACGGGGTGGCTTGCGTTTACTTTTTCCCTTCGATTCTTCGCGGGATCGTTTAACCATGCCTATCCTCCAGCAACGGTTTCCAGCAAGCTAGTTCGCGGCGTGGCTCGCGTGGCCGCGTAGAAAACCGCGGCGGGAAGAAGGAAGGACGTAAACGGCTCGCTCGTTACACGTTGCTCGTCTAAAAATATCGCCGTGAAACTTGCCTCGAACTTCTGACGCGATTTTCTCTCCGCAAATCTTTCCTGCCGCTTCTCTCTCTCTCCGATCTCTCTTTCGCTGTTTCTGCGTGGCAGAAAGGGGCAAACGGTCGGTTCTTAGAAAACCAGAGAGAGGATCTCCAGCACGCGAAATACGAGCAGATGCTTGGAGGTTTATGTAGATGCTTTGTCGGTACTGTGCTGCTTCTTGGAATTGTATGGACGAGGGTTATACTGTGGGAGGATTGATCGACGATTGACTGATCGCCTCGTAGACTGTGGAGTTTTAAAGGGAACGCTGATTGTACCCTTGGTGGGACGTTAGTGGTCGCTTTGGTGCCTCGGTTTTTCACGCTTCTAGCAGGGAAATCGCGTGTTTTAAGCGCTACCAGGTTTCTTTTTAGAAGAGAGTTGGTTGATGGATAGGCTTGAAGGATAGAAGGTGGTTTCTTTGCGGTAGAAGCGGTTGAAGAACTTCTCTGTGCTCGCTGCGGAGGATTTATGGACGATGGGCTACAGTTTTGAGGGATTGAACGAAGAGATGTTCAGCGGCGTGAGGAAGCAGGTGAAAGAAATGATTGGACCACGTTGGGGTAAATTTGGTATGAGGTAACCGAGAGAAATCGCGCGATTTTCGGTGGAAAGCAATCAACCGTTAGGCAATCGATGGATTTTATGTTGATGAGCAAGTTAAAATTTCCGTCAAATTGAAAGTAATTCAGGCTTACTTACCGTTTACTTTTAATGAAGAAAACAACCGTGATCTTTTTGATTACCTGATAATACAGAACCAGGGAAAAAGAATAAAAAGTGTAAACATAGGGTGCAGTAAATGAATCAAAATTCTCGATTAAAGTAATCCCTTTAATTTCGCACAATTCACGCTAAAATTTTTCAAAAACCAATATTTTCAGTGTACAATATTTTTGAAAACGTTTTCAGACTCCTCCTCTTTTGCATACTTTTCACCATAACTAAAAACTAATACGTCCATCTAAAAATATCGTAAAGACTCGTAAATTTTTCCTCGAGAAACTCCACTTCATCTTAGCCGGAAAGGTGGGAAAAAATTCGAGAGAAGGTAGAAGAGCTGAAAGTCGTCTTTATTGATAGCACATCAGGCTGTACACGTAGAACACCTAACAGCCTCGTGTCCTTCATTAACCATCTCTCCGGGAAAGGTGGAAAAATTGGCGTGGCGCGTTCACCGGAGGACAACGACACGTTCCAGGCGTAGAATATGACGTAATAAATGCATCATAGCTTGGTTCACCATTTGGTCCCAGAATTACACGACGTATCGTGTGACAGGGTTTTAAATCAAAAGCGAGCACCGTCGGAGGTTACGAGCGTTAATTGCTAGACTTAGCGTCTACGTCCTCGAAAGGGACTTTATTGCACCGGAAAATCAGCGATGGTACCGTTAGCAAAGGCATACGCGACGAGTACCATCTGCGTGGCACCAGCAAAGAGCATAAACGTGTAAATGGCTGATAATAATCCGGGCTCTTTCTCCCCCCTCCCTCCTTCACCCTTTTAAGAAAGAGGAACAACCACGCGTGGCGTTTATCCTTACGGGATAGTTTTACGAGCCGGTAGGACCATTCTCTTCTCATTCTGGGCACCAACTTACCGGCGTGCCGATAAATATTGCTCTCTGTTTGTCGTCCATTTGCAGGGATGATTGTGGAGACTTTCAAGTCGGGGAAGCGTGACAAAGGTGTGGGACCACGGAGAATTTTTTGAGAAATGATTTTTAAGAGAGAATTCCTCGGGAGAGTTGAAATTGAATTGGAAAAATTTCGCGTTGAAGAGATGAATTTGCGTGCTTAACCCTTTCGCGACGAGGAAGTGACAAAGGTGTGGGACCATGGAGAATTTTTTGAGAAATGATTTTTAAGAGAGAATTCCTCGGGAGAGTTGAAATTGAATTGGAAAAATTTCGCGATGAAGAGATGAATTTGCGTGCTTAACCCTTTCGCTTCAAAGAAGTGTGACAAAAGTGAACCACTGTGCGCTGCAGAAAACGTGGGAATTTTTGGAGAAGTTATTTTGAGAGGGAGAGTTCCTCGGGAGAGTTGAAATTGAATTGGAAAAATTTCGCGTTGAAGAGATGAATTTGCGTGCTTGACCCTTTCGCGACGAGGAAGTGACAAAGGTGTGGGACCATGGAGAATTTTTTGAAAAATGATTTTTAGGAGAGAATTCCTCGGGAGAGTTGAAATTGAATTGGAAAATTTCGCGTTGAAGATTAACCCTTTCGCCTCGAGAAAGTGACAAAAGTGTGAAAACACTGTGCGCTGGAGAAAACGTGGGAATTTTTTGAGAATTAATTTTGAAAGAGAATTCCTCGAGAGAATTAAAGTTAAATTAAAAAATTCCTCATTAAAAAGACAAATTTGCAAGCTTAACCCTTTCGCTTCGAGAAAGTGTGAAAACACTGTGCGCTGGAGAAAACGTGGGAATTTTTTGGGAAATTAATTCAAGAGAGAGAATTCAAATTAAATTAGAAAATTCCTCGCTAAAACGACGAATTAAGACAGAGAATTCTTTAGCAGAGAAATATTACAATTTTCAGTGTTTATTTTTAGAATTAGTTTCGAATCGATGGAAAAATTGTTTTTGCAAATTTAATAGGGACTCGGTGTAAGTGGATGGTTTCAAAGTGGACGTTTAACGTTCGATTTTACGGTGTTCATTAATTGAGGAAGCAGTTGTTGCGAAAGGTTCGATAAGAAGATAGTAAGATGGTATTAGAAATTCAGGGGAACACTTGAGAGTGTTTCAGAGCTAGATATAACTCTGGGGAAAGTTTTATTCGTCGAATGAAATCGTAAAACTCGACGATCAGTTGCTTTTTCTCGAATTCTCTCGATCTCCCTGATAATCTAAAACCGTCGTAAATAGTATTCAAATATCCTGTGTCTCTTCTCATTTACATCTCTCATTTTATCTGTAATCCTACGGTACATTTATTTTATTTCATAAATCAACTTGACCCCTTGACGTATGATTTCCTTTCCTGACTATGTATCTTCACCATTTTAGTACAATATTAAAAAAGAAAATCTAACGTATTGCAGATTAATTAAGTCTACTAATCTTCAGTTTTGTGAATTATAAAATTAGAATTAAACTTAATTTTTTAATTTTTCTCCTGATCAATTTTCAATTCCCATCAAAATTCTCTTAACAGCGTTCACTTCTCAACCATAAATTCGTCATTTCCAGTTTACAATAAAAAATAAATAAAAATTGTAATTACTTAC